AAAACGAGTCTGATTAGTTGACTGAGTGAATAAAAACTGAACCTCTGACGAGCAAAGGGGGCCTGTCCAAGAAATTTAAAGACACATACACTCAGGGCTGACTGCTAGACTGTTGAATAACCCTCGCTTTTGGATTCTCCAAGCAGCGCGCTGGAAAATCCCCATTCCCTCCCCACTCCAGTGGAAGGATACTGCAAAATCCCCATTCCCTCTCCACTTCTGGGGGAAGGATATTGCAAAATCTCCATTCCCATCCCACTCTGGGACCAGCCACAGGTGGTATTTGCCGGTTCTCCAAACTACTCAACCTACCGGTTCTCCAGAACCTGCTAGATTTTACCCCTGCTTCACTGCCACTTAAGAATGCCAAGACAACATTTCTGATACAACTTATTGCTGTATATTTCTAAGGTACTCTAAAATTGTGAAATTATTTTAAAATACAAAAAAGTTAGTAAACAGCTTACTTTTTATTATTTTAGCAGTTTCCATTTTTTCAATTCTATAATAAACTAATTCTACAAATTTCTCACTGGATGGAAAGATTAAATACTTTTCTACCCTTGTATATTGCATATAAAGTATATACAATCCAACACCTGGCATACTCAGTGGAAACTGTCCTACTGATTTCAAGCACTCAAAGAACATAAGCTGCTTTATACCATCTCAAAGTATAGCTTGATCAACATATTATAAGAATTGTTTCCTTATCCACTGTTTACTGAATAAGCCAACATTGGCTAAGGTCAAACAGCTAAGTCATAAATAATGACATAAACCACAATTGTTGAGTTTATATAATATGCTAAGCAACAACAAGTTACATTAGATTTTAGCATAATGTGTGAATTCAACGCATTAGTTCAAAATTGTATCTAAATTAACTGAAAGCACTTTCTCATCTTGTATGATTTGGCGCAGAGACTCATCCAGGAAAAAAAAATACCATCTACCACTGACCTCTACAGTGGTATTTACTGCCAAGTAAGGATGCTGAACTATAGTTCAGTATTCTTACTTGAAAATAAACATCATTGTATTTCACTATTGTGATAAATAACTAGGATGAGCAAAAATAATTCAGCCTATACTTCAAAGAAGTCTAACTGTTCTCTCCCCTTGCCTGCTGTCGACCTAGGGTTGCAAGTAAGATGCCCCATAAATTATCAACACTCACTTACATCAGCTTTATTTAAGTCTATAATTCCTAGCTTTTTAAGCCTGAAAAACTAAAGGTCATGTAGCTAAAAAAGATGAAAAATACCACATAACAACTCTAGAGGATGTTGTGCCAGATGATTGCTGTCCATTAATGTCAATCAAGCTGAGAATATTTTCGCACAGACCTGCAAATCTGTGATAGTCGAGAACACATGGAGTGGGTAGAATATTGGCAAAAAAAAGTGGGTGGAAATGTCTGTGTGTTTTATAGAGCAAATATTACGGCAGGGGGATGGGGATTGGTGCGGCAGTGGCATTTGGCACTGCCTGTAGCCCTTTGCAGCAGCCAGGGAACGCTGGAGCCTTTGCTGCAGAGCAACTGATTGGCAGTTGGATCTGCGTCCTGGAATACCGCTGATCAGCTGTTCTAGGTGGTGGAGATTGCCCCTGCCTATTGCCGCTGCCATTTGCCACCAATCACTGCCACCTGCCACCAATTGCTGCTGCTGAATGGGGCAGCAGCGATAGGGGTGGCAACGATAGGGGGTTGCAGCAATCAGCGCTGATCAGCGGCAGCAATCAGCGGTGATAGGCAGTGGTGGCGATCCCCACTACCTAGAACAGCTGATCGGTGGTATTCTAGGAGGCCAAGCTAACTGCCAATCAGCTGCTCAGCAGTGAAGGCTCCAGTGTTCCTCAGCAGTGGCAGCAGCTCAGCTCAGTTGACCAGAGGTGGACGCAACGGAGCCAAACCCTGACAAGCCACATGCTGGGGTTGCAATAATGTGCTGAAGCTGACCAGGCTGTTTGCTGTTTGCTGCAAGAACACTAGCCAGATGAATACTGGATGGATGCTGGGAAGCAGAGGCAGATTTTTTTTTCTTGTTTTCCTCCTCTAAAGCTAATGTGTGCCTTATGGTCTGGTGTGTTTTATAGTGCAAAATATACGGTAAATAAGAGAAGTAAACTGGGATAGAAAAATGGCACTCTTCTTCATCCATCATTTAAGGATTTGTGATGCATTAAATAAATATCGTATTCCCAAACTGAGGAGGCTTACAGTCTGCAGAATATGAATTGATTCCACTTCAGTGCCTATATTCAACTGATCCATTTGTCTGTTTTGACTTCCAGTCCTTAATTTGATTCCTAAAATGAAATCCCATTCAATTTAAACACTAGAGTAAAACATATACTCTAGTAACAGATTTCCCATTGCGGTAGTAACTAGTAACAGATTTCTTACTAGAATCTTAAAGTATGTCCTTTATTTTCTACAGCTGTTGAAATAGGTCTTTCATTGCCTGTACTTTATTGCTATGTTTATTGTTTAGGAACTATTACATTTGTGTAGAACGTTCATAGGATGCGAAGGAAGGAAATAATTCAATTATGCAGGCCACCCTTAATTTCAAATGTTGACTAAAAGCTCTCAGATCTCTGAGGTCCAACAGTTATTAGAAGGTAGAAAACATTTTACATTTAGAAATGATACAAATAAAAAATGTTATTGGCAGCTTTCCTACATTAAATTTATAAAATAAAGATTTTTGTTTTAAAATTTTTTCATCTTTACTCTTTCTGTAGGGATTGTCAACTTTGTTAGTTCCACAAGCAGGGTGGATTTGATTTAAATCGAGTTGATTTAAATCACAATTTAAATCATGATTTAAAACATAGTAAAAAGGCTTGATTTAAATCAACTCAATTTAAATCATAATTTTTAAAGAGCAACTGTCATCTCTGCTACTCCTTTGACCTACTGTTGACTCACCAATAGTCCCAGTGTTGCAGAATATACAGCCTCATGCTACATAACTAAGTTCCATTTCATGCTGAATAAACTAAATTATTTATGTATCTTAAATAGAAAACTATCTTAAGATAGATTTTTACCCCAAAAGTTTTTTATTAAAATAAATCCGATTTAAATCAAAAAAATCCAATTTAAATCAAAAAAATCTGATTTTTTTAAAAAAATCATTGATTTTTATCCACCCTGTCCACAAGACAGAATGTGGAAGAAAAGAAACAGATATTTCTGAAACAGTTAGGACAAACAATAATGCTTCACAATCTAATGATAGCAAGTAATCCTATACTACAATTTAGAATACCAAGTAATACCCCCATTTATTGAATTTGGCTCCTTCCCAAAAAAAAGGTTTTAAAGAAATATTGGTTTTTCTCAACTAGTACCGATTATAGCAGAGTAAGAGAAAATTGTAGGAGACAGCATATAAAGAATGAACAGCACAGCAAACAAGACAAAAATGACAGAATGGTGTGTGTACAATAAAAGTGTTTAGCTGAAAGTTCACTTACCAAGAGGTAATTTTGATATATTATTTCTTATATTCTTTGGCCTGAACCAACTGCAACTTGGCACATGCCATCTCCATGGAAATTGAGAATCTTTCCCTGACAGACTCAGTAGCCCCTCAGATTCCAGAATTGTCTCACACAGGACTTCAATACACATAAATCATAATAACGTAGTAATAAAATAAATAAAATTGGCAGTTAATTAAATTATAAACAACTGCTACAAGCATTATTTTAAAATAAAGAAGTAATTCTAAGGTCAGTCAAGAAATATACAAGTGGTCCTCGACTTAGGATCACAATCGAGCCCAAAATTTCTGCTGCTCAGTAAGACATTAAAGTGAATTTTGCTCCATTTTACAACCTTTCTTGTTACAGTTGTTAAGTGAATTACTGCAGTTGTTAAGTTAGTAATATAGTTGTTAAGTGAATCTGTCTTTCTCATTGACACTGCTTGTCAGAAGGTAACAAAAGGTGATCAAGTTACCCCAGGACATTGTAGCCATCATAAATATGAATTGGTTGCCAAGTATCTGAATTTCGATCAGGTCACATGGGGAAGTTGCAACGGTTGTAAAATGTAAAAAATGGTCAAGTCACTTTTTTCAGTAATGTTGTAACTGCGAACAGTCACTAAACAAATGGTTTTAAGTCGAGGACTACCTGCAATTTTATAGACCAAAGGCTGTTCCCATCCACAAAAGAACAATATTGAAAGTATCATGCAGGTTTCACTAATCTAGGAATTTTCAATAGCAATATCTAATTTACACAGTAATTGTTTATTAGTGGTTTGTACAATAAACTGCAATTTTTTTGTTTGTAGAACATGGTAGGCCATTAATCTTGATTTACAAACCACAGTGGCTAAACCTTTTCACCATGGGAAGCCAAACCTCCCCAAAAAACAAAATGCAATCACATTATAGCATGAAGCGTGTGAACCCACACTAATTTGTATATTACGAACAATTCTGGAAAACTGTGCAGTATAAATACAGCATTGGAAAGATCTATAGCATTAGTAATAGCCAAAATACTTCACATTCAAAGAACATTGTTTCAGGAACAAAACACAATTTTGAATTTAAATGAGCTGTTCTGACTTTCCCAGAAGTATTCTGGCATTGTTTAGACCATTTTGCAAGTACAGTGAGCATAAAACAGCCCCATTTTGTTCCCAAAGAAGCTCCTTAAAATCAAAAAATTGTTGTCTGTTTGGAACTTTAAACACCTCAAACAGCATTCGACTCCCTGGATATCTAAAAATTTTGACATGCCCAGTTTTGAAAGACACGTTTATAAATAGTGATAGTGTTAAAGTACCTATTCACTTTCGAAGAGTTTGGACATTGCGATGAAGATGCTTAGCAATTTGAGATGTATATGAAGAAAAATACACTAAAGTGAAAAAGAGTAAACAAAAATAAATGAACAAATTAAATTTTAAAAAGTAGGCATGCAGGATTCCGATGGAGGCAGAAGCCTTAGAAAACATGTCACTGACTCACCAATCCATTGTTTGGCTGAAGCAAGGAGGAAAAAAGCCAAATATTATTAGAATATATTACAGGAAAATGTTTACAGAAACCGGATAGTAGCCCTTAAATTTACTTGAGCTCTAGTCTAAAAAATACTAGCTTGTGGGGTCAAATTCTCATTATATTACAATCTAATTCTGCAATTTCTATGTAAACTTTCAAATTTACAAATATTAATTCATTGCTGACATTTCCGCAAAAAAAATATTCTTGCTTTTCTATATTTAAGATCCGAAGAAACTGTGCAAATCTCTATAGAAATCTCATCACTTTTATAAAACTTCCATAAAAATATTTGGTTCTCCAAAGCAACTTCAAAACACAATCTGATTTGTATTGAAGAGAGCTTCAGCATCCAAAGAATGTTTATTCAGAGGTATATATTATAGCTGTGATTTTGGGTCTCTGCCAAGCATGTGGGAGACGCGCGCACATACCCATGCTGCCCCTCCCCTTCCAGGAGTCTCCACGCGGCCCGTTTTGGATGCCAGGTAAGTACAGGGTTGTGTGGAGGCTCTGGGAGGACGAAAAACAGGCCTACCAGAAGTCGGGAAGCAGGTCATTTCCGGCCTCCGAAGGGCCGGGGGAGGCTGTTTTCACCCTCCTGGAGGCTCCAGGAAACCCTCCGAACCCTCTGTTTCCGGCTTCCAGAGGGCCATTAGAAAGGAAAGGAAAGCTTCCGGAGCCTAGGGAGGGCGAAAAATGGGCCTAATGGAAGTCTGGAAACAGGCCGTTTCTGGCCTTCAGAGGCTTCAGGGAGATCTGCTAGGCCCAAAATAGAGCGCGGAGGTCATGCATGCATGCGCGGGGGGGTGAGGCATGTGGGGGGCATTGCATTATGGGTGTGGGCATGCACACAAGTGACCCCAGTGCGACCCCTACTTTTGGCACACAATGGCAAAAAGATTTGCAATCACTGTATCATAGGTTTAGTTGGTAGGGGACAATAATTAAATTTAAGTTAAATTAAAGGAACAGTATTTAAGCCTGCATTTTGGAAACTATTATTCATAAAGTTTCATGGGTCCAAGCAAAAATTTCAGTTTATCCTGTAACTTTATAAACCTTTATTTGCACAACACACTAAATCATAAACCAATCAAGCAAATATCAGCTAAATATTCTATGCAAGTCAAATGTATATTTAATTTAAAGTGTACTGAATGTACTGAAAATTAATATATTTGTAAGTTACATTTTTACAAAATAACTCAACACAGTGATATAACTATAGTAATACCTTTCCACCTAGTACCTTTTCCATAATAACCAAACTGCCAGGTGAACTGGGTGGAGAAGGGCTGAGAGACTCAAATTGACCCAGCTGCCTTTCAAGTTTAAGATGGGATTACTACTCATAATCTCCTGGTTTCTAACCTGGTGCCTAAAACCATTAGCTCAAACTGTTAACTATATACATACCGTAGGCAAACAGAGACTGTATTTGATATATCAAAGTATTAATCAAGAAGATTTGGATATTTTTTTAGAAAAATGGTTTAAGATTCAGATACAAGTATAGAAGGGAATTTTTTTGGTAGTTGAGAGGTATATTTAAAAATATAATGGAGTTCATGGGCTATAGCAGATCGTGTTTCAAGGGAGAACATGATGAAATTGGAGCCATGGAAAGGACTAATATTTATTTCGGCTAAGAGGAAGATTTAAGGAAATACTTGCTTTTAAATTATGACAAATCTGTTACATTATATACTAAAAGTTTCTCATTCTTCTGCCTCAGAAAAGGTGGGAAAGCACATGGCCGACTGTTATCAACACTATTCAAGGTGCCACCAAAAGAGAGGTGGGAAACTCAGAGATAACATGGTCTTTCGTTCACGGGTGTCAAATTCACGGCGTCACATTGCCGTGACGTGATATTTTTTTCCTTCGCGGAGCTGGGGTGGGCGTGGCCTACACGTGATGCATCTGGCCCACAGGCTGTCAGTTTGACATCCCTCCTCTAAGATATTGTATGATGCCTGGCTAATGATCTCAAAACAATTTGACAGTATAAATAAAAGCAGTTTCATTATCTATAATTAAAACAAAAGTTTTAGATAATAAAATGATTTGTTTCAATAAATTGCACTTTAAACCAATTCTTAATACCACGCAGGACAATATAGTGTCTTCAAAACATTCAGACTCTAATCACTGCTAGAAATTTGTAAGTGTATCAGCAGCCTAGAATAAAAGCCCAACAGAGATAAAAAATTATCATCAGATCAACCAAAAAGCATTTCATTAAATTCATGGATTTTTACACCCCTCCAACAAATGTTATTGAGTTTGAGAATGGATATGTTAAATTTGTAGGGAGTAAATGAACAAAGGACACCAATCTTTTATGACCTCTTTGCAATTTACAACAAAATCTTACATATTTTAAGAAGGTCCAATATGTGCAGTGAAAACAAATATTTTTTAAATTATAGCTTTGGTTAATATTAATGTTGGAGTAGTGTCACCATCTCAAAACCTCTTTCATGTAGGAATTAATATGACACTTTATGTAAGTAAATCATTATCAGTGTGACAATATCGTACATATAGCTTATTATATACTTTGGACACTTACTAGGAAACTGTGATTATTCATTGTTTCTTTTCACACGTCCATCCAATTTTCCTGCAAACAAAAACTGATCCTGCTATATCTGAGGCAACATGGAAATTATCTCTGTGGTACTGTGTGCATGATAGACCATTCATATAAGCATGGCTTCACTTGATAACTTGCATGTATGAATACATTTGTTCAGTATTTTCTGTTTGGCTGGCTAGCTGCAATGAGAACTTCCTTACTAGAAAAGATGATGATCCCATATTCATAATGTCAGTTTCTTACTCTTTCACCAACATAGTTCTGAAATTTCACTTTGACCAGCCAGATGCCTTCTGTTCTGCCAGATCATTGCAAAAATACCACTTTATTTATTTATTTGTTTGTTTGTTTGTTTGTTTGTTTATTGGTTCAATTTATATGCCGCCCTTCTTCGGAGACTCAGGGCGGCTTAAATGCGTTAAGCAATAGCCTTCATACTTTTGTATATACCTGCTTAGTAGTAGTAGTAGTAATAGTAGTAATAATAACAATAATAATAATAATTTTATTTATATACCGCCCATTCTCCCGAAGGACTCAGGGCGGTGTACAGCCAGAATTAAAATACAAATATACAAATATACAATATCTAGTTAAAATTAATTAAAATCATTAAATAGTTTGGCCGAATTTTAAAACCCAAAATTAAAACCCAATTTAAAATCATTCAATTTGACAGCCCCACCTGTCGGAACAGTAGGGTCTTGAGGGCACAGCGAAAAACCCGGAGTTCAGAGATGTTACTAATATCTGGGGGCAATTCATTCTAGAGGGCAGGAGCTCCCACAGAGAAGACACTCCTCCTGGGTGTCGCCAACCGATATAACTTGGCTGACGGCACCCTGAGGAGTCCCTCTCTGTGGGAGCGAACTGGTCGGTGGGAGGCTGTTGGTGGCAGAAGGCGGTCCCATAGATATCCTGGTCCTATGTCATGGAGCGCTTTAAAAGTGGTAACCAACACCTTGAATTGCACTCGGAAGACCACTGGAAGCCAGTGCAGCTCGCACAGGAGAGGTGTTACATGGGCACAACGACGTGTGCCCATAACCACCCGCGCGGCTGCATTCTGGACCAGTTGGAGCCTCCGAGTGCTCTTTAAGGGAGCTCCATGTAGAGACCATTACAATAGTCCAGAGGGGAGGTGATGAGGGCGTGATGGACCGTGCGCAAGGCATCCCAGTCCAGAAAGGGGCGCAACTGGCAGATCAGGCGAACCTGATAAAAAGCCCCCCTGGCTACGGCCGTCAAATGCTCTTCCAAAGACAGCCGTGAGTCCAGGACACCCAGATTCCGAGCCCTCTCTGTGGGGGCTGCAGAGATTCACCCCCAATAGTCAGCGATGGCACCAGCCGGGAGCCACAGCCACTCAGTCTTGGAAGAGTTGAGCTTGAGCCTATTTTTCCCCATCCAGACCCACATGGCCTCCAGGCAGCGGGACATCACATCAAGGGCATCATTGGGGTGGTTTGGGGTAGAGATGTACAGCTGGGTGTCATCAGCGTACTGATGGACTCTCACCCCAAAACCACGGATGATCTCACCCAGCGGCTTCACATAAATGTTGAACAGAAGGGGCGAGAGGACCGACCCCTGCGGCACTCCCCAAGCGAGGCTCCTCGAGGTCGACCTCTGTCCACCTGCCAACACAAACTGCGAGCGGTCAGAGAGGTAGGAGGAGAACCATCGTTAACACTGTGCCTCCAATTCCTAACCCCCTCAATCGCTGCAGCATGATACCATGGTTGATGGTATCAAAAGCCGCTGAGAGATCTAATAGGACCAGGACAGAGGAGCAACCCCCTGTCCCGAGCCCTCCAGAGATCATCCACCAACGCGACCAATGCCATTTCTGTGCTGTTCCCCTGCCTGAAGCCCAACTCGTACGGGTCCAGATAGACAGCTTCCTCCAGGTACTGGGGTAGCTGTCGTGCCACCACACTCTCGACAACCTTCGCCACAAAATGAAGGTTGGAGACCGGACGGTAATTTGCTAATAGAGCCGGGTCCAGGGATGGCTTCTTGAGGAGGGGCCTCACCACCGCCTCTTTCAAGATGGCGGGAAAGGCACCCTCACTCAAAGAAGCATTTATAATCCCCTGGAGCCAGCCTCATGTAACCTCCCGGGAGGCCAGTAGGGCTTTCGGCCGCCCCTATGCGGTGTTCTTTTTTATACAAAGTCAGCTTATTGCCCCCACAATCCGGGTCCTCATTTTACCTACCTTGAAAGGATGGAAGGCTGAGTCAACCTTGAGCCTGGTGAGATTTGAACTTGCAATAATTGCAGGCAGCTGGTGCTATTTAACAGCACTTTAGTCTGCTGCATCACCAAGGCTCTTATATTATGCATATGTCTTTATAAGGATCAATTAGTAGAATCCATGAACCATATGATTCTTTATTGCTCCACAAAGGACAACTTTTATCATCAGGGGTTTATCATCTACCCTAAAAAAGAAAAGCAACTCTGTGTCCAAAAGCTGTTCTATTTATTGGTTTTCCTATTCAACCGTTATTCGGATATATCCTACCAGATTGCTCAATTTTGTGACTCTTTAAGTACCATCCATCTGGCCTTCAATTTCAAAAATGGTACTAAAGTTTTTTAAACATACACACACACACCCCACACATAAAAAAATATATGGATAAAAGACAGATACAAATAAACTCAGAAGCACACATTCTCTCTCCTTCTCCTTCTCTCTATCTAAACACATAGTCCTTGTTTAGTGACCACAATTGGGACTAGCAATTTAAGCAAAGCAGTAGCTAAATGAAAATCATGTGACTGAGACTGCTTATAATTTTATTTCAATTTTCTTTTGCTTTTTGTTATTTCTTTGAGCTGAACTGAGATTTCTTTTTGAGGATATCTTGGTATGGAATAAATAACCAGGTGAAAATAAGAGCAGAGAGTTGTTGCAAATATCATAAATGTGAGAACTCATCATTAAGTTGATTTTTAGCACCATTGTAACTTTGAAAAAATGCAGTTGCTAAATAAGGACAACCTGTGTGCTTGTTTATCTTATGTAATTTGTTTTCATTTGGATGTGACTTTTGATTTTATAATCATAATGAAGGTTTTATTGTTTATGTTTTACCATTTTTCTTTTTTCTTTTCCCTTTAAATTAAATATCAATTAGAGCAATAACATAAAATACACTGATCAAGTATGATTCAATTATTAAACCACAAGTCACTAGTTTAAATATCACTGTTGTGCAAACTACTATGACTAGTGTCATTTAGTATACTGTCCAAAGTACTAAACCAAAATCAACAAAGATATTGGCTTGATTCAAATGACATGCTTATTCTATGATTAATTGGTTTATTCCAGGGGTGTCAAACTCATGTCTTCATGGTGGCGTCACATGTCATATCGAGACTTTTTTCCCCCTTCGTTAAACTGGGCATGACCAGTGCATGATATATCCGGCCCGGGGCCGCTAGATGACAACCCTGGTTTACTCAATCAGTCAAACGTTTTGGATTCATATCATAAAATGAACCATAAATTAATCACAAAGTATGGTATATGCAAAATACTATAATATGCAGCTTACTACTTTGTTGTTCAATCAATTGATTGGAATCAGCCATCATGGCTTTAATGTGATACATGAACCAACCCTCCATTCATTGCTTCAGTCAAATGGTATTTAATGGGAGAAAGAAAAAGGAGCATACAAGAGAATAAGGCATTTTAATGCCTGAGATTTATAAATGTACTTGTTAATAAATAATCGTTACACTTTTAATATAATTCCTGCTCTTGGCTAACAACCAGCTTTTGCTCTATATTTGAATTGGGGAACAGTCAAAGTAAGTCTAGTGACTTTTATCATTGTTGAAACCAAAGTCTTACATAAATATGACCTTTGTCATTCTCAGCTCTTTGAACTGTACAGGTGTTATATTCGGAACAGAAAGTTATTCCAAAAAGATACTATTCCAACAGAGAAAGAAAATTCTTATGCTTTGCAAGATAGCCTCCATAAAAATACAGGATCTGAATTTATATCTCTAATAGGAATTCTGTTTTCCACATCAAGAGTTTGCAAGTTGAAGAGATCGCAGACAGAAATGGCACTCCCAAGCCATTTTATTATTTATTTCAGAGGAAATAAATCCAGCACTATCTCATGACCACTGGATTCTGTGGTCATGAGATAGTGCTGGATTATAAATGCCATTATTTCTTACCATTGGCTATTTTGGCTTCAGCTAATGGAAAGTGGAGTCCAACAACATTCACAGCCTCTCAACCCATTTTTAAAGACAGAAATCCTGGGCAGATCTATCATGAAATAAATCCATTAATAAATGTGACTAAGCCCAAATTCATATTTGCAAGAACCAGAATGGATCTTAATATTCAGGCAGAAGACTTACTGTGAAGGATAGGCCTTAACCCACAGCTGTTTTCTAGAAAGGAACCAAGAACCCAGAGGATAATCTGAATGTACGCAAAATACTTTTCTTTCTGTACTGCAAACTCTTTAGAATGTTCAGTAAAACAAGGGGGTGTAAGAGAGAGAAAAAAGCAGGTTGATCTACTAATGGCCATAGATCCTAATAAAACAATCAGACCTCCATCTTCAAAAGGTACTAATCTGAAAAGGAATTATCAGATTCTGGGAGAAACTTGTTAAACTCTGGCTAAGCTTTGTGGACACTGGACTACATAAACTAATTGGATTAAATGGATAATTAGCAAGATCTAGCAGAGCATTTGAGCAAGATCATTATGCAACTCTCCCGTCTCCGTTCCTCTCAACAGGCAGAGAGCTTGTTCCCATCCACTGCCTCAGCCATCAGGTTAAAGCCAGAAGACTGAAGCTAATCCTCTTCCTCTCCTTTCCCTATTCGGATCCGGAAGCAGCGCGGCTGGGGCTCCGCTACCCACAGCGGCCCAAGCGACCCAAGGACAGGCCCTAGGTCACAGAGCATGCTGCCCATTTCGGCTGCCCCGCTAGCCAAGGCCTGCCTGCAGAAAGCTTGGATTAGAAGCCATTCGCGCAAGGGAGCAATGTAACAGTAAGTGTTCGCGCTGCTCTCCGCGCTCCAGACTCTGGGACTTACCTTGGCAGCCATGCTTTTACCTTGTGCAGCCGGCCCCTTTCCCCGGCACAGCGAACGAAGGCAGTAGTAAGCGGCGCCGGGACTGACGCGCCAACCAGCCGAGAGGAAGGGCCGCTTCTGCACGCCCATTGGCTGAAGCCAGCCTCCAAGAGCAGCTGGAACGCGCGTGATCCGCCGGTGTCCTCAGGCCTGGCGGAGGCTGACGCGAAAGTGGTTAAGCAAATAAATCCATGGCTGGAATTGGCCCCGAGTGGGCTTCGTGCCGAGCGATTTTGTGAATGCAGTTTGGTCTGCTGTTGCAGCCTTGGAGTGGAAGCGCTGTCTTTCCTGCCCTGTTTTCGTGAGTTTGGGACGGATCAATTAAATAAAGAAATCTACAATCTACAAACACTGCTGTCCTTGCCGGCTTGACATGAAACTCAGTGCCCAAGAACAAAATTTTTGTCAAATGTTTACATATCACTTCTAAAGTGTTGTACCTTATGATTCTTGACGAATGTATCTTTTATGTACACCTAGAGCTATGCATCAAAGACAAATTGTGTCCATACTTTGCCAATAAAGAATTCTATTCTATTCTATTCTATTCTATTCTACTCTACTCTACTCTACTCTACTCTACTCTACTCTAAAGGGTCGCAATTGATTACATTTGCTTGTCATTCATATGTCTTTCTCCAGGATAGACACGTCTCTTATCACAAATGTGTTAAGAAGTAGTATGGCCAGGTTAAGGAAAACAAGTTCGTGATGGCTCACAGACTTAAGTGAACTGTGATTTGGAGGAAAGGGTGCCAGATGTGTAGCCCACAACACTGTTGTGTGAGCTGGTTACCGATGTGTTTCCAGATGCAATTCCAGATGCTGGTGGGTACCTATAAAGCTATCATGGCTTGGGACCATGGTACTTGAGGGATCACTTTTTTTCCAGAATTTCTATCCACCCGATTAGATCAAATAGAATGGGCATGCTGCAGATTCTATCAGTCAAAGAATGCAGCTGATTTTTCTGCAACAGCCCTTGCCTTGTGAAACATTTTCCTTTTGGAAATCAGAATTACCCCATCCCTGTTAACCTTCTGTAAAGCTTTAGAAACCTTGCTATGCTCCTTAGTCTGTGAGTATTACATGTGCCAAAGGTCCTGCCTCTGGGCTATATTGTTAACAGCCCAGACATCTTGCTTTCTGCATACTTCGAAGTATATGTTTTAATATTTTTACTGTTTTAATGCAGGGGTGAAATCCAGCCAGGAGAACCGGTAACAGTGGCTGTGGGAGGCTCCGCCCACCCATGCAGTCATCATGACATTGCTTTTTTGTGACATTTTAAACCTCTGTGCATGCGCAGAAGGCTTTGTGCATGTGCAGATAATGGCGGTGCGCACACATTGGCAAACCGTTAGGGAAGGTAAGTGAATTTCACCCCTGGTTTAATGCTTTTTAATTTTATTGTTTTAAAATGTTTTTAAGATATTAATTGTAATACGTTTTGAATTGTGAGCGCCTAGAATCATTTGCTGAGATTGGCGGCTATAGAAATTGAATGAATGAATGGGATGTCTTCTGCCTTGAATTATTTAAAGGCAGGGAGAGTTAAAATAACATAAAGAAAACATATAAAAACTATAAAATTGTAAACCTTAAAAAGAAAAAAACCTTGCACTAAGTCTATATTCTGATGTGCAGTCTCTTTATCCCATCCTAGGACTTGAGAGGAAAATCCAGGTCTTAAGTGGTTTTTGGAAGGCTAGGAGGACAAAGAGGCCTGCCAAACTTCAGGGAGAAGTTTGAAAATACAGGGGCTGCCACAGAAAAGGCATGCTTCAATGCAGTGAGGCACATTAGCCAATATATTTTAACTCATGTCATAGCTGACGTATTTGCAGAATAAGTCTTATGTGACAAACATAGGGAGGATTTACTGATAGCATTCCAAACTAGAAGCAAACAGTATAAGTACATCCAACATAATAGGCAAAAACAGATTGTGTGAGCTCAATTGTATATGTTGTTATTCCTATTAAAGTGCAAGGATACGATAAACATTATTATTACAACAAAGTAACCTAGTGAGCATTTACGATGCTGGACTTATGACCCCAAGATCCAGGTTCAAGTTCACCTTCAGCCACAAAGGTCCACTGGGTAATTTTGGCCATTTGCTCTCAGACCAACCAATCTCACTGTTGTTGCAGGAAAAATGACACAACGGGATTTATACATGCTGTTTTGGGCTTCTGATTTTCGTTTTCTATAAATGAACAAACCAGTGTTTCTAACAAACTTAACCTGGCCAGCCTACTTCTTAAGAACAGCCTTCTTTGTGGCTTATCAGGTCCTTTGAATCTAGTTTGCCATATAATGTTAGGGCTGAATATGTGTACACCAGATAATGGTGTACACATATGGTTTATTCATTAAACCATAGTTGGCTTAGGGTATTTAAATACAGACCAAATATTTCCTTAAAACAAATTAGATTTACACATCACATGAAACCATAAATTTATTTAGGGTTACAATAATATACAAACCCACCCATTTTTAATTTATCATAATTTTTTTATTAACCATTATTTTATTAACCATTATTTTTATTAACCATTATTTATAGCTTAGTACAATATGTGATCCAGACAACTGTGGTTTACTCAATAAACTAGAGTTAAGGAAATGTGCCTTAGGATAATGTCAGCCGTAGCAATGGTTACTTCCAATGGAATTTAGACAGGCTTTTACACTCAGAGAACTTAATGAGAAATTTTGCATAATTTATATATGCATAATTGCACCCTAAATTTTATTTAAAAGATGACACTAAGCCCTAATGTTTTATTTGTTATAGATAGAGTTAATCTAATGCAGCCTTCTCTAGTCTGATACCCTTCAGATGTTCTGAAAACGTAAATTCTAGATTTTATAGATAAATTGACCAGAAATTCAAAAAAATTATAGCAATATTCCAGGCAAGACAAAGTGGCTATGGATGCAAGGGACCTCAATGTTAACTCTGGATGGTGTTGCATTACCCCACACAGATCCATAGGTGGATCCTCCCAGACTCATGACTCTTTTAAGAGCAGATAGAGGTCCCAGCTAGGAGAACCTTTCTGCAAGGTCATGTTGTTCAACAGTTGCACCGTTACCTGGATCATGAGGCCCTGCGCATGGTCATTCATGCCCTAGTCACCTCTTGGCTGGATTATTGCAATGCACTCTAAATGGGGCTACCCTTGAAGAGTATTTGGAAGCTGCAGCTGCTGCAGAATGCAATAATATGCATAGTTCTGGAAGCTCCTTGAGCTGCATATATAACACTGTACTGTACAAGCTGCATTGGTTACCAGTTTGCTTCTGGATCGAAGTCAAGGTGTTGGTTGTTACCTTTAAAGCCCTACATGGCATGGGTCCATGGTATCTGAGCAGCTGTCTCTTCCCCCATAGGACTAGCCTGCCCCACTCATGCCAGTGGAAGAGGATTGCTACAGATCCTGTTTGATAACAAATTCCAGCAAGTGTATTCAAGGAGAAGAAGCTTTTCCACTGTGGCCCATCCTTTGAAGCACTCTACCACCAGAGGTAAGAATTATTTCCACACTTTTGGCATTGCAGAAGGGCATTAAAACGTGAGTTTGCCAGTTGGCCTATCATCCCTAGGAGGTGGCATACCGCTGGACGTGGGTGAAAGGATAAGAAGACCTTATCCCCATCGTATACTTCTTTTAGTTCTGGTTTTAGTATAGTTTTTATAATCTTAATCTATGTACTTTTAAAGTTTTAATTATTTTTCTTTGTGTTTTATAATTTACAAACCTCCCAGAATCAACTTGTAGGAAAGATGGGCAGTATAAAAATTTAATAAATAAACATATCTAGAATGCTTCTAGTTTGGACACATAGTAGATGTATTTTTTCCTTTGCAGAAGTTTCTTTTAAACAGAAAAAAATAAAGAATTTCTAATATATGTCCTTCTCTGTCTCTCTCATCTCTTTTTTTCTGACCCACATACTGCCTACAGTATATAATGAAAATTAAGTATTTTTCAGTTTAAATTGATAATGTGATAATTATGCATTTCTGTGTAATTAATAAAAGCTCAAAAGATCACATGTATTACTGAAATGTTGAGTGAGAACCCTTTTCAGAAAGTCTGATATATTTGTGAATATATTCTAAACATTGAGATAAATAAATGCATATGCTTACACCCAGGCTGAAACTGAAATTCTCAACTTCTACCTGGAAATTAGATTAATTTCCAAATAGGCATGTATGGGATTCTGATTGTAAACTTATATGTAGATTTCATTTCAAAACATTTGAGTTGTTTCAGATTATCAGTATTAGATAAAGACTTTTCATTTGCTCACTATAATTGCAGTATATTATATCTCCCATATTATATGTTTCTGACTATAGCTCTGCTTTTTTAAAAATACCCCCGTTTCCAATTTTGAACCACATCTGGAAACAGGAAACAGGATAAAAGTCTATAAAGTAGGTATTAATACTAGGTTTGAGACTAGGGTTATATTAATTAGAGTATTGTGTGAATCCAGTCTATTAAGCTTGCAGCAAAATTGGGTTCATGATGATGATTTATTAAATTTGACTGCTGCCTGACTCCCAGCAGTTCCATGCATTTTATACGTTGTTTAAAACATTAAAAACAAGAAAAACAGCAAGAGACAAAGAAAAAAGATAAAACATGGCAGAATGGCAAAACCAGATAGGAAAAAAGAAAATAACCCACATAGTTTAAAAAGGGCTTCCGTCACCCTTGCCAAAGGGTGGCCTGGGCAAAGAACCAAGTCTTCAAAACACCAATGGGTGGGGAGGGTGTTCAAATCTTGGGGGAGTCTCATTCCAGAGAACAGGCACCTCTGCAATTGCTGCTATAAAGAATTAATATCAATCCAAAATAAACATTGAACAAAATGTCACAAAGCTGATAAATATAACCCAAATTTCAGAAATTGTGTAAAAGTAGGGATGTCAGATTTCCAATTATAACGATAGATTTAAATTTATTTATTACTTTTTAATGTAATGGTTTATTTTAAAGAGTTGCTAAATTCTGTCATGCTTTAATCTAGGAGAAAGTAATTAAGAATAGGTGGTATATTTATTGCTTACCCAATCC